CGTGCCATGTCCGTGCCCTGTTGAGAGCTTGGAGCGGATTGGAGGGGGGCGTGTCATTAGGGTCTCAGCGCCAAGATGAAAAAGAGTAAACACGGCTATGAAAAAACGTTAACAACTCTCTTGGGCCTCCTCCGACGGGGGGGCATAACAAAACGCATTACACACACAATCTTTCAGTCTGTATGCGATTGTGCGTGTGTGCGAGAGTATCTGTGTCTGGGTGTGCGTGTGTGTGTGTGTGGGCTACGTGTAACTTTATTAGCCGTCTCCCCTGTGCGTATGCCTGTAGTGTGGGACTGCGACTATGTGTGTGTTACCTTGTCAAAGTTATGAAAATGTCTGGGGACCTGCTGTAACTGCTGTTACCTGCTCCCAGACTCGGTCCATGCCCCAGCCACAGCCCCCGCCACCCTCTTGCCGGCTGCTACTCCCCTCGGTCTAGCCGTGTGTGAAATTAGTCTAGGACGTGGATTTCCATATGCCGTGCCCATTGAATCTATGTGGGTGCATAAGTCTGAATCAAGGATTACAATACCAAACTTTAAATGCAATTAAATGTAGTAAAAAATAAATGGAGGAGCTTTAGCCTGGAACTTAGCTTCCCTATGTGAATTCTACAAAGTCATCCTCTCTTAAGTATTTGCGTAGATAAGTACCGTTGTACCGTTGTACAATTGTATTATTATTATATTTAATTTTAGTGCTACACAAATAAAAATAATAATATATTATTTATTTTATGTTATATAAATTATTATAAAATTATTTTATAAAGTTTTAATCCATTGCATTTCCTTAAGGGCTTTGTGCACTGTCACAGTCTTAGGAATATGCATTTTTATTAAGTGTAGGTTCCAGAATCTTCTTCTTCACTCCTCCCATAAGTCCCCTATCTCAAAATTTCCGATGCAAATCACTCGCAATCAATTGAAATCCATCAAAAGCAAACCAACACAGCCCCTTTAAAGGAGATTTTCAATTACGCAGCTCCGGAATCTCATTTCGTATGATAACTGCAGTAAAAGGCGTGGTCATGCATAATTCCTTAGAGGTGAAAAAGATTCCATTTCGCAGCGTATATATAGAAAATTCCTTTAATATTTTTGCAAATGATGCTGAGAAATCTCAGGGCGTGCTCGCACCTCGTCGGGGTCATTTAAATGCAGATTGCGGAATGAGCAGTCTGTCCACTCGGGCGTCAGACCAGGCATTTGCATAATGGCGGCGACACATTGCAGCGGAAGCGGAAACCCAAACCCAAGCCCACCATCACTTTCCCCCTCGCCACCATCCATGGCTCGAGGCTTCAGCGTTGCAGGTTGCAGGTGCTCCAGTCGTGTTTATGACTGCTTGAGATTGCTTGTGCCCCATCGTTGGGGGCTGTCGTCGGGGCTGTCGTCGAGGCTGTCGTTGGTGTCGTTAGTAAGCGGAAGCGCCTCGCATTGCCCGGCCATTGGTTTTGGGCGCCAGAAATGAAGTGTGGCAGCCAGCAAGCGCTTTTCATTTGAATTCAACTGCCATAAATAAGCCAGCCACTTGGCGAACAAAGTGCGAAAGGCAGGTGATGTGATGGCCTTCCATTATAATGTCTCCATTGGGCTGCAATAAAAGCAATCAAAAGGGTATGAGAATATATTTGGGGACTATTGGGAAACATGAATGATGGCACATTAAAGATTAAGGCTTAAAGGCTGTACCGCACAAAAAGATTTGTGTATGTAAACACAGATGGACATGTATAGATGAGTACCTAAAAATGTTCTATGACAGTCCCTAGGGAGCTCGTAGCACCATCATCGCAAATTCAAAAATTCTCTCCTACTCAAAGTTCAAATTTGGAATTTTCCAAAAATATTTACACCTTCAAATTGTCCATGGGGCAAGCTACGACTACTATTCCTACTCTGACGTTGTTGTTGGTATTGTTGCGGTCGTTGTTGCTGTTGTTGGTTCAATGTTTATGTTGCCACATCGTGGCAGGGCACGCATGCAACGCCTCGCCTCAAACCAAGAGCCCCCCATTGCACACACACATACATATAGTCTGACATGAGGGCGAAAGGTGCAGCTGCGACTTTGGGTGGGGCAAGTTCTGTGGGTGTTTGGGCGATGGGGAGGCGGTGTCAACCATTGTCAGTTAGTGGGTTGGCCAGAGCCTGGCAGCAGCCTGCGCCACCTGCTACTGTACTTGGAGAAATTCTGTGTGAGATGCAAAACTTTTGAGGCACATGTTTATTGTATCACATTTTAAAATTATTCAAGATGATGTGGAGAACGTGAGAAAACGTGAACTTTTTTTCTGTACCAAAAATATGACAATTTCACTTTTTCCCAAATAAAAAAGGGATGAAAAGGAATGTCATTTTGAAAAGTAAAGATCGCAATAGATTACTAAAAAAATAATTTTTAGTTTATTAATTGCATTTTAAAATTCATAAAAATAATTTAGAGATAAAGGATAAAGGATGCACGTGTGCCCATGTCATTTAAATAAGGAAAAAGGCTTTTAAGCACACAAAATTTTTTATATTCAGTCCATAACTAAACAAAATTCGATTTTAGAATTTTAAGTGATTTATTATTTCAAAATAACTAATTCATCTATTTTTTGGCGAGTGTAGAAATTGGTTTTGGCGTAGTTTTTGTTGCTGGAGTGGCATAAATATCGTTGCGGTTGCACGTGAAAATTGCATTTGGCCAGCATTTGGCTGCTGGGCGCATTTGGGCGCATACACTTGAAGCGGTGTGGAGTGGAGTGGAGTGCAGCAGGACACCGCCATTCGGCTTGGGTTCCGCTCTGTTCTGCACTGCCCTTACACTCTGTGCAAATTGTGGACTTAAATGTTTATAACGCATCCGCATCTCTCCGTTCCACCCCTACAGGTTCAACCACCGAAGCATCCAACAGCAGCGTAACTCCACCTTCGCACCACCCAACTTTAGACCATTTTCGTCGTTTGTTTATTAAGCTTTTCTGGTTGGGGCAGAAATAGAGAATCGGTGGGGCAAAAGAGAAAAAAAAGGTGTTGAATGCCACTTGCTGGGGCTGCTTTTTATTGCCATCGCACATCTAAGTGCAGCAGCTGTAAAATAAATATATATTTTTATATATACCCATTCCGCACCATCCATTTCTTTTACTTCTCTTTGTTGTAGTTGGCTGTGGGTGGAATGGAGGGCATGGATATAAATTAAACGCATTAGAGTAGGAAACCGCAGCGATTTTCCTTTACTTTTTTTTCCTTTCCCGCCCAGCAGCATTAATTCGCTTTTGCCAACCGACAAAGGCACTTAACGTTCTTGCTCTCTCACGTTCTCACTCTCTCAGTCTCTGCGTCTTTTTTTTTGTGATTGAAGTGTATACAAAATTTAAATAAGAAACAAATCGAAGTAATGGCAAAGTCCCCCCTTACCCTTGGTCCTCTCGATTGCCACCTCATAGATGGCTAGATACCAAATACCAAATGCTCAAATGTTGTAAAAGGCAATGGAAAAATCGTCGAATGGGAAACGGTGATGGTGATGGAGTTGGATGGAAAGGAAAGGAATGTGGACGAAGCTCTTCACATAATGAAAAAATAAAGGAAACCGAAAATCCATTCAAATGAATCCAAATTCATTGAAGCGTTATTTTAGGTATTGGCTAAAAAAGAAACAAAAAGGAATTAATGTCATGATACTGTTGCTTATCAAGCACTTCTTTTACCTGCCAAAAAAACAGTCAAGAATGTCAAATGAGTGTTTCTTAGCAATGCTTTATAGGTAAGTTTCGACACGATTGGAGAGATTCGTAAAAGGGGGAAAACTGAACTACATACAACAGTACAAATAATATTGGAAATATCTTCGGATTGTTCCCATCATATACGAATATAAATAACTGGAATATATGGAGTATAATAATTACTAAACAAGCTTAAACGAAAACTTCTTTTGACTTCTTTGAAATTCAGATTTACTTAGCAATTTTTGCAAACAATCACCATCCATAGACGAATATAGATATAGAAAAAAACGCCCAGAGAGTCCTTGCAACATTTTCCCCAACAATGGCAAAGTCAGAGCTTAGGGGCAAGCTCTTAAATAGAATGACTAACCATCTTAATCACATCACAGATACCCAGGCAACAACCGTACGGATACGAGTACTGTGCAGCAGCTGGAGGAACTAAACGTTTACTCGGACGATTTGGAAATGCCCGCCGACATTTCGGCAGCTGTCAGTTGTTTGCCACTAAACGCTTACAACCAGCAAATAAAGTGCCCCGGAGAAAGCAGAGCTGCAGGCACATGGCTATACAGAGAAAGTACAGTTGGAAAAAAGAGGAGCATTTTATATAATCAAATAGCAGCCAAAAAACGGTTTTGTGGCCAGGGGCAGACGTCTTCGTCTGGCGTTTCGCTCGTTCGGGACTTGACTGTTCCGCATTCTGGCGCTTTAACTTCCGCTTTCCGTTCTCCCTTGCTCTCACTCCATGCCTCTTCATTGTCTTCTCTTTCTTGCACTTTGCATACAAAGTACCGTTAACTACTGGCATCAGTTTTCACACAACAAGAACAACAACAGCAGCCGCCACCCTGATGGTTTTGGCGGGTTTTTTCACTGATTTCCATTCCCTGTTCGCCATTGAAAGCCAATAAAAGGAGGGCAAAATCTGAAGATTACCAGAATCCAAGCGCATTGACCAGGGTTGTACCTTTTGGATTGAGGTGGATTTCACTTTAGATGAGGTGGGAACCTTTTTTATAAAATGTTGTATGGAAAAGAGGGCCCACGCTGAAACATTATTCGAATTTTCACATTTTAAAAATGCTATAAGGTTCTTATAGTTTCATGATCTAAAGTAATATCCCTTGGGGAATATACCTAAAAATTATTCCAGCATTAGCCATGCATTGAAATCATTTTATTATATGCGGAACAGCTGCTCACTTTTAATAATTAACTATATTTAAAAATTTACAAAGAGATAATTTGGAAAAGTATTTTAAGTTTTTTAAGAGACACACAAAATATGGCGACGCATTTGGGTAAATCAATCAAATTTAATAGGGCACCTGGTCCGGGTCAAAAGTACATATTAAATCATGCTGATTCATAAACTTCAATTGTTCTTACCGCATAGGATTCTACTATGATTACATTTAGTGGTAGAGCCTCTCATCTTTCTCTGCTAAGAACTCCGATGCAATATTTAATTACCGAAAGGGTATCGTATATAATGAATATCAGTGCCGCAAAGACAACAAATCGTAAGGCACATCTGATCAGTTTCCACAAGGGCCACATTTGAGAGCAATTCGAACAATATTTGATGTAGAATAGATTTCAAATGTAAAAATGAGTGGAAAGTCGCGGATAATTTTGTATTGAATATGTTAAGTTATAGCTTAGGTTGGGCGTAGATCACTCAGCTTTATCAATATCTTCAGAGTCCTTCTCTTTGTCCACATCACCTCCAAATAAATGTTGCTTTAAATGATGGTTATACAATTGTTTGGCCATGGCTCTAACTGCCACAGAGACTGTCGTTATCGCAACAGTAGTCGCATCCGCCTTTGTTGTCTTCTCCGACTTGTTGTGGAAGAAAACAAAGTAAATGATCAGACCGCCTATAAGCAGAATCCCAAGTGAGGAACAGATGATACACATCAACAGTTTTGTCCCCAACTGAAGGCAGCTGAATAGAATTATATTATATTATATTATATTTAAATGAAATGGAATGGGTAAATTAGCTTACCAGCATAACGCAGATCCGATTATTCTGAAACACATAATTTCTAATTTTAAATATAAACTTTTATTTTGTCGAAATTGGTTTAACCAGAAATTACGAGTACGAATGGAAACGCAGGGCACACTGTTGGGGGTATGCTTTCTCTGGGGTAAAATTATATAAATTTCGGGCTTATTACTGTCGCAAAACAATTGGACTACTTTGGCCATAAAAATGATAACCATATCCCCAGCTCCTCCATTAAGCATTCCCATCGAGTGAGCATATTTTGGCTTTCAAGTAAATTATATTTTATGCCATTTGCTTACAAAAACTCTTCTTTTATTGCAAATGGTACGGGAAACGGGAAATTCGATTAACTTAAGCTGGTATAAGGGTTGGCCGCAGCTCTCGTTCTACCTCACGCGCTCTCAATTGTCGTTGAGGACCGCTAGGAAATTTAGAGAAATAAAATAAAATACAAAAAAAAGAAGGCACAGAAGGAAAGTAAAGAAAGAGAGAAATGTTCTTTCTTGCCGCATAATCGAAATGTATTTTTCCTCTTTATTGCTTTGCCAAAGGTAAGTCTTGGCCTGGCCAAGACAATGGTTGGTGGCTCAGGGGGCTGACGGCTGCTTAGGTGTGGAAGGAACGACTGTCTGTGTGGGCCTGGCCCCCCATTTTGTGCGGGGCGATAACAACATTTTAACGCCTTATGGTCCATTTAGGTAAAAGTGCCGATTACGCTCAGCTTAACCAGAAATTATGACCTCAGAGCCGGTTTGGCTTCTGCAGCAACTTTAAACGAAGCCAAGTATATGTAATACATACATATATTGTAAAGAATCCCTCGACAAAAGGCTCACTAAGCACCGGATAAAGTTGGGGTCTGCTTCTGATTAGGTGGCTATATTTCTAAATTTCAATTGGAACTTTTCCTGCTGTGGCATACTTTTTGGAGCACAATAATAATCGGCATTTGAATCATTGGAATATTTGAGCTATTTCTACAATGATTGTGTGTTGAGTGTCAAAAAAATAGTCTTGAAAATCATCAAAAATTCGCATTTTATTTATTTATTTTCTTTAAATTTGTGCTGCATACTTTTAAGTGAAGTATTAAAATGACCAAGTAAATATTTGATGCGTAATTGCCAGCTGTACAAAACAACAAAATAATTTCCAAGTCAAAGACTCAGCTGCAACATTCAACTGCAGTGCTGGCCACTGCTGTGCTTTATGTGGCAGCAACGAGCCGTATGCGCAATTTATTTGCAAACGAAGGACCGGACAGGCATTGCGTAAAAATTAATGAAAGGCAATTAAAAGCATTCGGAAATGTAATAATAAAATGTATGCCAACAACATATTAAATGTTTCTCTTTTACCAGACTCAAAGTGCAGTGCAATCCAAAAGTCAGATGCCCTCCACCACCACTCCACTGTCAACGGCAAATAAATATTGTATTTTCGGTTTTTAGGCTGAAATGCACAAAATATTGCAACAATAATCGAATGATTTCATTTCTGTAACCCCCCGTAATTTAATGCTATTTGTTAGATATGTATGTTTATGCCTATGAAAATTGAATTGCATTTCGTTTTCGCATTGCATTGTTTTTTCCGTTTATTTGTTGAAAGTTAAATTGAATTTGTTTTTGGGTGTTTTAGATTTCTTGGCAATCAATTGCCATGACAAATGTTTCTGTTCGTTTTCTGTTTGTTGTTTCAGTGGTTGTTGTCGCTTCTGCTTGCCGCTTTGGCTTGTATTTGTCAAGTGGCTATGCCCTATCTTGAGAGGTATGTATGATTAATCTATGAATTGGACATATTTATGCAATGCTTTGAACAACAGATTTCAACAGATTTTTCACATTTCCTTTGACCTTTCGCCCTCCATATTATAACTTCATTGACTTGAGTAGCGTTATTATTTTCTTAATTACACAATCGTTATTTTGCTGCATTAAATATTACGTTAGAGTATTCCCGCTTAGGCTTGGCTTAGTATCCAGTTCTTTGCTTTAGTTTTTATCCCTGGAAAAGGGCCACTGGGCAGGGAATCTTGTGCATTATTGCGATTTTACACGCTGCTGCACTCGAAAATGAAACGGACAATAAGCTGCACTTGGCCAGGAATCAGCAAGCGGGAGTGGTAGGGCCAGGAGCTGAGGTGGGGTCAGTGGCAGGAAGGCGTGGCATGAGCAGCATCCTAGCCGACGTTCTGGCCATCATTGCCACTGTCCGCCGCTAAAAGCTTTTTGATTATGAAAAATGTTCGAAACATATGCTCCAAATGACTGCAAAGCGTGCAAAGAAAGTTGTTTCTCTCTCTCTCTCTCAGCATTGCATCGCTGACTGGCTGACTAAGTTTTGTGCTTTTTACAGTGCATCACAGCAGTACACAGTATGTAGTAGGTATGGCACGGTACCTATTGTAGATACTCGTATATATGTTCTACACGTACTCAACATTGTGTAAGTAAGCATGTTTTATTTCGTTGCAGCTTTTCACTGGCACTTGGTCCTGGATCCAGCTCCTCTGGATCCTGCTCCCGTTCACGGCTCTGCTCTCGACTTGTCCTTGTTCCGTGCATTGCTCCTGTTCTTGTTTATTGTTTACTGTGGCTTTGCTTGCTTTTTTAGATGCCTTCTGTTATTGTGGCTCCTGGCTGTTAGTGGACTCTGGCTGGTGCATTGTTAATGGTTGTGCCATTTTATTTTAAAATTAATAAAGTGGCCAAGTCTGAGTTCGAGCAAATTGCAGCACAAACTTCATTCGGGGCTGTCGCTTTTGTTTTTGTTGTGAACAAACCCACTTTCAACAAATTGTGGATGCTGCAAATGTATTTTTAATAACTGCTACGATTTGTCTGTATTTTCTGAAGTAGCAGATCGTTAATGTGGTTAGATGTCGTTTGGTTCGAGCTGAATATTCGGTACATAATGTTGAATAGACCTGATGGGAGGCTTAAATTATAATTACATTATAACTGGAGTATTTCTAGAGAATTTAGGAAGTCAATTCTACATGAAATACTTTAGGCACAACACCTTTAAGCATCACCAATTTTTTTAGTTGTCATACCTTCGCCTTTAACTCCCATTTTTGCATATTTTTATCATATTTATAGATGCCTCATTTATATCGTGATTTAAATATCTTAGAGCATACCTAGCATACATACATCATTCATGCATATAATATTCCCACATTTAAAAGTTCTCCCTTCCGATATTTATATTTGATCCTCAGGCTTAAATAATGAGCTCTTCACTGTCCCTATTTCAGTTCAGGTTGATATAAGAAACCTCCCACATTGACAATCCAAAAAATAAAAATTCCCGTACTCACATATGTCTGCTCCCCCCCTGCTGAGCCTTCCCAACTGCCGACTGCCAGTTGACAGCCCGTTCATCAGGTTCCAACATATTTGCCACTTAGAGAGCAATTAGGCGGGAAAGTATGCAGCGGACTACACGTGCATCGATCTCTATAAATCAGGGAAATTCTTTACCCATCCCCCGATGCGTTGGTAATTGAATGTCTCCGCGGAGAGTGCATTAGCCTTTGTCTAGGAGGAAGACCAACTTGGAGATAGACGACAGAGGATGGATCGGATCGAGCATAGAAACAGAGAAGTGGCATCAACACGTAACCGTAGCTGCAACACAAATGTGTTGCCGGAACGAAGAACAGAGATCTGCTCTTTTTTTTTTCTGTTCTTAGTATTTTTAGAGCAACGCAGAGCAAGTGAGATGGCTAGATATAGCAAGAGAGAGAAAGAGGGATAGTCCGTACGTATGTATGTGTGGTGGATCGTTTTATGATATTTTTAAACGATAAAATCGCTGCAGGCGAAGTCAAGTGCATTAAGAGCTCTGCTCTGATGTGCTCTGCATTGGCATCAAGTGTCCGGGGGCATAGCCACCACACACAGAAAGAGCACCAGAAACAGAAACAGAACCAGAAACAGAACTAGAAACAGAAACAGAGATTCATAGTGCGCCACACCAAATGAAGCCATTAGCAAACAGAAGTTCTGGCCTAAATATAAACTCTCCAATGAAGTTTTGGCCATACGCTATATTTGGCCAGTGTGCGTAGCCTCAGCTCCATCGCGATCTCGAGTTTCTTTTTTGGGGATCTCCATCTCCCAGGGAGTTCTACTATTGCTTTCATAGCGACTCTGCTGTAGGCATAGTTCTGACGTGCATGTGTGTCGCGTCGCCTGTATCCGCAGCCGCATTTGACAGAGCCTGCAAGGTTTCGGAGCGATTCGGCCACTCTGCTGCTAGCCGATTTGCAGATTCCCGTCACGATTTAGCATTTTTCATCAGCTCAGCGATTTTCATGTCACGTTCGCTGACAAAGTTTTTACCTCCCCATAACCTTTCCCTTTCCACAAGACCCTCTCAGGCTTATCCTTGAGTCGCATCCTGGCGCGAAGTTTCAAACATTGCTGCGGCGCATCTTTTGTGGCCATATATAACATACATATGTACACTTATATATATATAACTCTTGTATCTGCTATTTGCCCTGGGCTCTACTTCTCTTCATTCTCCAACTTGTCTCTACATCCTCTGACTTGTCCTGTTCGAAGGCTCCAGACATGTCTTCTATGTAGTTTTGTTTGTTTGCTGTTCCAAAGTTTGTCAGCTTGATGTTTAATTGTTATTTTGTGTCTCTCGATGTCTATCTGGGTGCGTGTGAGGGAACTTAAGTATGTCTGATTTCATTTGTAAGTTCCTCCACCAAAAGTTGTCATCTGTCTGAAGGGCATAACTTTGGTTGAGATTCAGATTGAGCGTCCCTTCAATTCGCTTAAAGACACTTTTGCACACGCAGCAAGTTCTTGGTTTAGTTTTCGAAAATGATTTCATTGAATACTTAACTGTATCCACAAAAGTACTTATATAATAAAAGTAAAGTCTAAATAAAAAAAAATGTTTGAAAAAACAAAATACTTCAAATACATACATACATACTTTATACAAATACATTTTAATATTGTATTGGCTCTGCTCAAAAAACCAGAAAGTTCTTAGAATCTCTGTTAAAATGTTAATGTATATTTATTGGAATTAAAATATGTTTTTCATGGAATCACAAAGTTCAATCAAAATTATTCCAA